ATGATGAATAATATTTTCGAATATATGACACACAACGCCATCTAGTTTCAAACAAAACATTGACAATATTTTAGTACTTAACCTCGAAACATTCAAAAGCCAATATCTTTTTTCCTAGACTTTTTTCACTAGTAATTTTTTTATGAGAATGTTCAAGAATAAATTCTCAAGGGTTATAGGCATTTTTGATATTTAAACGCTGTCATTTCACTTCAAATAAAATTATGTATGGGGACTTGCCATTGTCCTTTGAGTAGTGTATGTTTTAATAGTCAAAGATAACAATCTACCTTTTTAGCAGGTTTTTATCAGTTTTTGCTTATTACAATATAGATCGTTACCTTTTGAACAGGCTTATAGCTTCACTTGTAACCGTATAAAAAAATAGGTTTATTTTAAGCTAGTTTGGGTACGCTAAGTCGTAGTATTGTTATACCAATACAACTACAACTTAGCGTCTTAAAGCTGATCCGATGATGGATGGAAGGAGTTCACAATGAAAGCCTTGAGTGGCTATTAGTACCTGAACATCTTGCGTTTGAGCTCGATGGATAACTTTGACGAGCCTAACAAATTCGGTTTAGTGATGAAGCCACAAAGTGAACAGGAACTCTAATTTATTTAGTTTCATTAAACTTTAAATAATCTCTTAAGTTTTTAGGTTTTGTTTGTTTTGCCTAGATTCAATAGATTACCGAATTTGGTCTGATTTAACAGCGTAATCGAAACACAAATACACTTGAATTTGCATTTAATGTCTGATAAATTTTGTTTCAGGCTGCTAGCGCACTTTTTACCCTTGACGGCGCAAGGGGTGAAGCGTTGACCCGTCGTTTAGCAAGAAGCGAGAGACGACGAAGGCACTGCCGAGCTGGCCTGGCCATCATCGCAATACTGTTGCTAGTGGCAGCAATAGGGGCAGTAGAACTGCTCATGTCGCGGGGACAGAGAGTCTTCGGCGCTGTCTTGCAGTAATTAGTCTGTTCTTCTATATGCCTATCTGTGTTATTCGCCATAAAATAACTACTGATACGTCACAGGTCACGCCTATTTGAGACCACTTATCAACAAGCGAGCTTATGTACGTGCAAATAAGCGTAGTGTTCGTCAGATAACTTCCAGCAGATTTGCGTTACTTTTGTTTCAATAGAGGCAAAGACGGCCTCACAAAGTGGCCACTATCTATACAAACATGTAATTTATACAAGCTACATTAATGACACCAAAATCTCCATTGTGTCACGCACACAAATTACCCAAGAGAAGGTATAACTAAATTGTTCCTACAAGTTCAGTTGACACAACAAGAAGAACATGCCAAACCTTTTAGTTCAGAAGTCAGACAATACTTGGTTTATTTCGAGTGTTGGCACACGAGGCTGGCATTTGTTCTAACTTACTGGTTATCTCAAATCCTTCCATGTATTATATACCTTAGTATTTGAGATCCTTTATTAGAAGTTATTTTAACTATATAAACACTGTTGAACAACATTGTACTATATAAGGCTTTGCACTGTATTACGCATTGTATCCTATTTTACATATACATAATTAGTTTTTTTTGTATAAACTTAGATGTTAGTTGAACTAAATCTTATGGTATTGAAATTGAGCGAATTTGTATTATTAAGAAATGCTTCTAAAGCTACATGATTTGGATTCCACTATCGAATATAACATTTAAGTTAGCTGTAAGTAGATCATTTTGTAAATATACTTATAATTATTTTTTAATTATATATAAGAGGGCTTTTTTATGATGTAAGAGGCAAACGAGCAGACGGGTCACTTGATGCAAGGTGACCAACGCCGACCATGAAAGTCTATAACTCAGCAGTCTCATACCTTTTGTCTGCCATTTACATAGGCGAGTCTTGAGTTAGTAGTTTACAGCGCTATCCTCTATGAGCCTTGTATATTTAAAGCAATAAAGGAAAAACGGTTTTGATAACTTAAAGGTTGGACTTTAAGTTAATCATAGACATCAACAAGTTTTAAATGAAGTCCATTTTTATGTGAAAGGTATTGCAAAATATTTTCTTATATAGCTGGACTTATCAGCAAAAATCTGTACTATACCATACCATATTTAAATATCTTAAGTAACTTACACGATTTATCATATTACGTAGCTTATATTGCTTTGTAAGTCTTTAAATAAAATAGGTATGTAAACTATTTATGGTACTTGGTTTGATAGTGGAATACAAGCTTAGAATATTTTATAAAAGTGCCTATTATATGCAACTACTATTAGAAGTTATGTAATTGATTTTTAATTTGTAACATTTTCTTTTTTACCTCCCTGCGATCTGTGGGAATGGTTACGTATAAAGGGACGGAAGATTGTAACAGAAAACCAGCACCGGCTTCCCCTCGTGGTGCTAGGGTTGGCCGTCAGGTAGTAGGTAAGATGTTACGTCAGATGTTACATATCATAAACTACTACTGTAAAGCTCACTTGTTTTTTTTTCTCAAACTATCGTAGACTCGTTTAAAACATGACAGCTCTGATTTTTCGTAGCACGTTGGAAATTTTCATCTTTTTTTATACATACTAGCTTGTTTACTTAGAACAAAGACAAAATATCAGAACTAAATAATATTAATAAAACTATCAGAAACGAGATTTTTTGACAAAATTCTACTGTTTCCACTTCACTAATTAGATCGAAGTGTAGCCACAATTCGATTAAAATTACGTAGACATAGTGTGTAAACAATAGAAAACCGTAATTAAATCTTTAATCATATTAATATCTTAATAGGTTGTGCCATAAAGGAGGGTGGGAGGATTTTGTTTCTCAATATGTAGACAGCTTTTCTTCTTAATAATATTTGTTGCGGTTTGATGAGGTGAAAAACATTTTATATCCAAATATCAGTCATAAATGTATCACGTGTGCCGAAGCCATAATTGCTACCAGTTTATTTAACGCGATCACGTAATAAGTTTTACATTTTTTTATTATATAGAGGGCACAACAAGTACACAGGTCACCTGATGGTAAGGCACTACCGCCGCCCATAGACACTTCCAACTTAAGAGTCATGAGTACTTGGCTGCCGTTTGGTCCTCCCTCCCTAGGAATTAGTGGGAGATGCAACAAAAGGAATGCTGGCTTAGGTTTAGTAGCTGGCCGCACAATTGCAGAGGAGGAGAGGGAGGGGGTGGAGGGAAAGTGTATAGATACTAAACTGTAACCGGAATGCTAACACCGGTTTACTGTGAGGCCATGGTATCAATCCGGTTGAGCCGGTGCAAGGCTCAGTCACGGTTTCATACACAGCTTTCATTTGTTGACGTTTGTCAAAAATATATATATTTAAAAAGATTTTTTTTCTTATTTATTAACCTAATAGCACTTGCCACTGTGATGTAGTTTAACCATAAGTCAACAGTTATCCAGCCCTTTGAAATGTTTACACTTAGTTACAAAAACAAGCCTGTTATTACAGGCCACAGGAAAACACGATAGATTTAATTTCTAAACGAAATTATAAGCTTGAGCGTCATAAGCGTTTGGTTATTAGTAAAATATGGTGAGCTCTAAAAATATTTATATGTACACTCGACACCAACAAATCAGATCACATAAAGAAACGAATCCAAATCACATAGATGCGTCTGGAAACTTATAATGCTAGTCTGGTGCGATAAATATTTACATACTTTTTAATTTATTAGAATAGAAAAAAAACAGACGTAGTAAATTCGTCCAAGATATTTAAAAGTCGCGGTTTTTATTCATTTCCGATGCCAAAATATTACTTTCATTTAATAAGTATTTAACATTCAATTTATTTCACTCAGTTGGCATTTTTTTTTATTTCCAGGTATCTTGTGACCCGAAATCATTGCTCAGAATGTCAATTTTGTGTTCGTATTTTGAAGTAGGTACTTTCTCTCTTTTCAATTTACTCTACAACTAACTCTCTGCGCATATGCATTGTGGCTCATTTTAGTATTGAAAATTTTGTGATATAAATAAATAAGTTATATAGTTATATATGTACTTTTTAATATTAATTTTAGGATAAAATATTGCGATTTTCGAACCCTGTAATAAACCCAATGTATAAAATTTTACTGCACATAGTGCATATGTATTTTTGGAATAAATAAAAATGACTTAATTTTTGGTTTCTAGTTTTATTACCCTTTCTTAACAAAATATTTTATATATCTATGTAAAATATTCGTAATATCAACAAAGTATTAATTTTTGTGTATTAATGTATAAAGTTCAAAAGTTAGGTTTACAAGAATCTGATACGAGTATAAGGGTAGAAAAACGGATGATTCTTATAACATATTCGGTTTTGATTGTAATTTTTATGTGGCCAAGCTCCCTCCCTCCTCTAACCTTGCCTTGAGAATAGCCTTCCCTTCAGCTTAGGCGATCATTCCTGGCCGACCGCAGCACCGTATTTGAAATTGAAAGACGAGAGATCTTTCATTGCGCGATACAGAAGTGTCATTCAATGTAGTTCAGATTGTCTTCCTCAGATAGCCCTGACTCATGTTTTTTTGTCCGTGAGTATCTGCATTAAGCGATTTGAAGACTAAAATATTGCACATATTATATTCTTGTACATAGATGAATAATAAATTGTTGTTATCTTGAAGTTATCATCATCAACAGCCTTTAATAATATAGTCCACTGCTGTACATAGGCCTATCCTTAAGGCCTACTATAATATGCTGGCCAGACGGGTCGGTATAGGGTTTGTTTTCCTTCTCTTTGCCGTACTGTTGTCCTGCGTAGTTTGCTCCCTTAGTTTGCTCTTAAGACACTCACGGGATGAATAGGGGTGATGACACTCCGTATTCTTATTCCGTCACCACACGGATCAATTATAGTAATTATAATTATATTATCAAATATATTCTGAAGTAGGGGTAGTCTATCTTTTATCTCCTAAGTAAACGTCTTTCGGCTGAGCAGAAGAAGAAGAACGGGAGCTTACTTAGTTGTTTATGTTATTCAGATCTTCATTCGGCAAATAAGACTGCATCTACTTTTTGATCTTGCTCATTTGTTGGTACATGGTCGACTACCTGGCAATCAAATGCTACCGCAATCACCTAAAACAAGAGTACTCTGTTATAGCACAAGTAAATCTTTAAGTCACAGTAATATTCACGACACATAGCTACTTGAATTTCATTCTTATAGACTGTACTGTATAACTGATTTTCAAATGTCCTAACTCTCAATTTCAGTACCTCCACCCTGTTAAGGTACTGACATTAAGAGTTTCTGAGAACTCCTTTGTTATCTTCTAAGTAAGTAAGGACAAAGAAGAGGCTGTCTGTTCTCTCTACAGCAATAACAATAAATAGGCACCTGCATACCCAAGCTGTTGTATAGAATAGTTTCTTTTGTACTTTAAGTTTCTCTCTGATTAAGTGTAAGTGGCCAGAGGACATTCTGATTAAGAATAAACAAATGAATAAATCACGATTCTAAACTAGGCAGGGTCTGTACTGTGACAATTAGACTGCAGTTAAACATACTTATATATTACATTATACAAAAATGACACCCAACAAGACAAATGATACTACTCATCACACAATTATTCATCCAGGAATCGAAACCACGACTTCTGGTTCAGTAGGGAAGATCACTTGCAACTACCCTCAAGGGAAAAAAACTTGTATTTAAATTTAAATGGTATACTACGTATTGATAAATGATAACTGGTTAATGTGATATAAACCTTCGGTGCAGTTTGTGGATTACTACGTAGGTTGGAGATGAACTGGTCATAATAACCGCCACCGTGACCGCATCTCTCGCCAGTCTTCGCGAATGCCACCCCTGGAGCAATAACCAGGTCTAATCCTCCTGAAATGAGTAATAAAAAAATTTGGAATCACTTTGGATACTGCAAGATCAGTGTTGTAATTTATGTTTTAATAACCTTATCATATAAAGTATTAACAACCCCAATTAGATGAAGTGGAATGGCAGAAATGCTCCAACTGTTTATAAGGCCTCAGTTAAACATTGGCAGTAGTAATCTATGGAAAGTTGGTTGGTATTGCATAAGTGACATTTGGTGGTTACAAACTATGTTCTTGATACCAGTCTTTTCTGTCTGTTCTCATGGCGATAAACAGCAAAACAAACAAGCGACAAAAGAATTGCTTAAAACCGTTTTTTTTTTTGTAAGGCTGTGGTGTCATCAACATGCGCCGAAGTATGGCTCCCCATGCTACTTGTATATATACGTTTAACATTATTTCTATCTTTCTGGAATGGCGAAGCAGATAGATCCCCAATAAGTACGTTGTCTAAATCAATATTATACTAACAACAGTTTAATAGGGGTTCATAACTAACACACGCCCACTGCTGTAACTCCTGCACACCAGGATCAAGGAACACACCTAATTTTGACACTCGGTAAGTCCCAGGATAAGTTAAACTGCGTTGGATCCCAAACGAAATTAATCGGCAGTTAATTGGAGGAGTTGGTAATATAACAAATCAAGGAAACACTAAAAAAGAGCTAAGTAAAAAGCGTCCCTTACTTGAGAGTAAGTATGAAAAATCTGATAAGCTAGAAGTAGCCCATGCGTGGTAAATGGCTCTTCACATCTCTACTTACACCTGACGGGAACGGGCGTGAGTATATACATACACATAGATAAACATTTACTTTATAAGATCTATAACTTCGTCAAATAACTAATAATAGTGACTAGATATAATATAAACTTCAACTATTTAATGAAAGTTAGAATGTCACCACAGTTACTGATAACGGGTAAGCCCCTCTATAGCCCAGTCATATTAGGTAAAAAAAGGGGTCAACCTCGGAATGAAAGATAATAAGCTGCAAATTGGTATGAACCTTTGTTTTGTCATTCTAAATGTTGTCTCAAAAGTCACAATCGTTATCGTGTCCGCGTCTCAAGATATTCAAGGTCAAAGGTCACAAAAATCGGTTTTTCGCGAATATCTGGCTTCCTATCGGTTAAATGAGATTTGCATTTATTATAAAAGTTGTAGGCTATAAAATTCTCTACAACTTTTGTTTAAACTTTTTTTTCATACGACCAACCGTTTTGAAGGTAGAGCGCGAAGAGTGCACATCGTACAGTCATATACGGCCTAATGCAAGGTCAAGCGTGAGTTATGGTTATCAGTACGTTATAAAGTCAATTATTTACTTGGAAATTATAATTATTAAACAATGCCTATTATTTATGTACTAACTATTAATTATTTATATTTAATTAAAGTAAGTAACTTGATTATTTATATATAATTATTCATATTTAACTATTTAAGTATTAAATATTATTAATTCTGGATTATATATTTTAGTTTTATTTTAAGTTAAAATGATAGTAAGAGTATATATTTTACACATATTTTTATTTATTATTAAATAAGGCATAATATACATTTATCAAAATGTGAGTTCAAATATCAAAAGTATCTTTGTTGATTTTAATTGTAATGAAATTGGAAATGGAAGCTAATTATCTTCTTCTTGTTCGTCGTCTTCTTCTTCTTGTCGCTCAAAAATGTTCGATTCATTGTCATCATCCTCATTATCTGTCATGTTCATCTCCAAACCTTCCAGAATATCGGGATCATATGTATTTTCTTCATCGGGATTACTTGGATACAGTGAAGCGTTGAGGCAAGCTTGTCCGTTGCACTGGCCGCAAGCTAAAGAACATTGTAGCCCTGATTTTCTGCATCCACAGCGGGAACCACAACCATTTTTGCAATTGCAAAATATTTCGTTTAGTAGTTCGGCTGGTGCTGGAGGTAATAACGTTCGTATGGGCTCCAGGATTTCATTTTCAAGCATCCAGCCCCATTCTTGAGGTTCTAAGTCCTTCCCTAACCACGTTTGAATCTGGTAGTAGACACGTTTTATGTGTTGATGAGCTGCTACACTTGTTGGTGGAAGTGTTGACAGTTGTACAGGTTTATTTAGTTTTGTAAATTTGATGAATTGCGTGTAGCGGAAATGATCAATGTTGTCCTCAGATTTTGGAGCATTATATAATGCCAACAAGATGCGCACTCCATTTTCTAATAATGTTTGTTTTGGGCAGTTTTCTTGTTGAAATACTTCCACCAGTTTATCTAAATCAGGAATTTTTTCCAATGCTCTAGTAACAGTTTTTTTTCCTTTTTTAAATAGCGCAGAAGTCGTGTCACAGCCACTGAATGCGTGTAAAAATAAAATTTACGCGTTTTAAAGAAAAGATATATAATGTCGTGTTAACTTAAAATAAAACTAAAATATATAATCCAGAATTAATAATATTTAATACTTAAATAGTTAAATATGAATAATTATATATAAATAATCAAGTTACTTACTTTAATTAAATATAAATAATTAATAGTTAGTACATAAATAATAGGCATTGTTTAATAATTATAATTTCCAAGTAAATAATTGACTTTATAACGTACTGATAACCATAACTCACGCTTGACCTTGCATTAGGCCGTATATGACTGTACGATGTGCACTCTTCGCGCTCTACCTTCAAAACGGTTGGTCGTATGAAAAAAAAGTTTTAACAAAAGTTGTAGGGAATTTTATAGCCTACAACTTTTATAATAAATGCAAATCTCATTTAACCGATAGGAAGCCAGATATTCGCGAAAAACCGATTTTTGTGACCTTTGACCTTGAATATCTTGAGACGCGGACACGATAACGATTGTGACTTTTGAGACAACATTTAGAATGACAAAACAAAGGTTCATACCAATTTGCAGCTTATTATCTTTCATTCCGAGGTGAAAGCCCTAATATGACTGGGCTACTAGGGGTTATCGCTGGAAAGACTTACTACGAGTATTGAGAATCATATTTATCTATATATTAAGTAAATTTTGCGCACAACAAAGTTATCGTTATGACGATAGTGTTATTAATACTAACATGCATATTTTCGTGGCAGTTGTTTTGTTTTGTAAAATTGCACAGATGCATGTGTGTTTCGATCTGAAGGAAACTAACAATTGAAAGAAGAAGAAAGAATAAGACTTAATAATAATATTCTACCACATTCACACAACGCCATCTAGTCCTAAACTAAGCAGAGCTTGTACTATGGCTACTGGACAACTGATATAAACACATTTTTACTTTTAAAACACCCAGACCAAAACAAACATTTAAATGTTCATGCACAAAAATGTTTGACTTGGGCGGGCATCGAACCCGTTACCTTTGGTGTAGCAGTCCGTTACACAAACCACAAATGGCAAAATTAAGGTTTTTTAATATTTTTATAGGATATGGGGCTAACGAGCAGACGCGTCACCTGATGGTAAGTGACTCGCAACTCAAAAGTCACGAGTGCATTCCCGCCCTTTCAGTCTCTCCTCCTATAACTCACTTAATCGGTGAAAAGCAATAAAAGAAATGCTTAACACCGGCTTTCTGTAAAACCTTGGTACCACTCCGGTCTACCCTGGCCCATTTGCGTCGAAGTACTTAATAAAAAATGGACAACAATCTTCAAATATGTATACCCGATACATAAAAGTATGAACCGGGTCAGGAGTCAGGTGCTTTATTTGTAATCACTACTTCCGGAGGTCACTGAACCACCTTCCTCCTTCATAAGTGCAGTCCAACGGGTGACAGATGAAGCCTCCTGTCATTCTAGCAGAAAGAAGCACCTTGGTCCCCGAACACGGAGGGCCATCTGTAAGCAGTAGATGGCCTGGGGTCGGACTACCAGGGATTTTCTTTCTAGGTTACACCTGGTTCTCCTACTACTATTTTATTATTTGAATGGGACTAAACGGGCAGTATAGTTCTGAGGTAACAAACATAGAAAAACAGCAAATGGTTAACTGTAAGACAGATTAAAATAGTCGTTAATGAGTCGACGATGAGGTTCACATTTCACAAACAATCTTCTGTTCAATTGTGGGAGAGCCTGCCAGACCGAAGCGACACGCCTTAAAAGTAAACCAGAAATAATTTTTAGTAAGTCTTTGGTTACTTTTCACAGAGTGATTAAGGTTACCAGAAGCTACCTCTCCCCTAAGTCTGGAAGCACTCAAAGGAAGCCAACACACTTGTGTCTTTCGAGTTCCTCCGAGTCAAGTAACTCAATTACTAATTTGGCCCTATACTATGAAAAAACTGTCCGTGTGGTGACGGATTTATTCCGACGGTGTCTGCACTGCAAAGAGAAGTAAAACATGAAACAAACCCTATACCAACCCGTCTAGCCACCGTGGTGTAGAAGGCCAAAACAACCTTTCTAATGAGGGGTCTATGTCCAGCAGTGGACGACCAAAGGCTGTTAATGATGATGTACAAAGAAAACTTCAAAACCACTACAATCAATTTACCTGACTCCACAGCATCTTCTCTAATTTGATCCTTGGAATGTTGCGCTATCCCATGTCTAGTCAAAGGCATGGCATTCTCATCTTCGTCCTCTAACTTAAGCATCCTCATTATTCCACCAGCGTACTGAGGCACGAATGCTGAACCCCCACGAGCTTTGATGTGACTGATGATCGGCGCTGTGTTGATCTCTTGGTCTGTGCTCATGTATAAAGAAATTCGATTCGCTGACTTGTACCAGGGGTGGTTGATGACCTGCAAAAGTATAACACCATGGATAAATCCAGGATTCCTGGGTTTTCTTTTGAGGCTTTTGTTGGATTACCGTCCTACAGTGGTTTTGTGAAAATACAATAAAAAAAGAAGATATGATTCCTAAAACCTAAAATACTCAAGACTGTTTTCAAAAGACCGAATTAAAGTTAAAGACCGAAATATTAAAGAAATCTGAAACTTAACCGTTTGAGTGTTTTACCTTGTGATCTAAACAGGTCTTTTTTAAGTGACTTTGTAATTAGTTGTAATTTTTATGTTTGTTATAAATATATTTGTGAGAAATAAATAAATAAATTAAATATATTGTTTTATTGTTATGATGAATCGGTCAATTTATCATTATTATATAGGAGAAATATTATATGCTGTAAAATACAAATACAAATAAAATTCTTTCACGTTGCTGTTGTTTTAGTGTTAAGGTTCAAAATCTTTTGTGGCTTTCTTAGAACTTCATAAATATTCTTTATAACCGACTACAAAATGAAGATGATTCTTAATTTGACTGTAATTTGCTTGTTTTAGCTGTGTGTTATACGCGATTTCTTCGTGATTATTTGTGAATGGATTTTAATAAATCTTTTTTAAATCATTATTTTTACTCAAGGTACCTTTGAAACTAGAAGATTATATTCCAGCTCTAAGGATTACAGCTTTTTAATTACGGGATGAAGATTATAGCTTATTGAAATTTATCATAATTTATACTATGTTGGAAAGTTAATCATCTGTAAATTACCTTTTCGTATACAATTTCGGATTGTCGCTTCTTCTCTTCGGTGGTGAGAGCGGCGATGCGTGCCGCTATTTCAGTCCTCAGCGCAGCCTTTGCAGGGTTAGGTGTCACCTTCGCCATTTTGAATCTGTATCAGAAATAAACACTTACTACACAATGAAACTAATTCAAAAGTCATATGAAAACTTTTAAAATTAATAAAACAATCGAGAATTGAAAGGACGATTACAAGTTATCCTAAGCATAAAAGTCAATATTGTAGGAGTATATTAAGTTGTAGCGTGGTATAGTAGACCAAAACCTCCTTTCTAAGGAGAGGCCTATGTCTAGCAGTGGTCTATTATGGGCTGTTGATGATCATGATGATGTTAAGTTGCCAAAATAACATTACAAAATTATTCTTAGTGCGGTAGATACTAAAATTAAACTATTTAAAGCATTATTTTTCACCCACTAAAAAGTAGAAGGAGGTCCTCAATTTGATTGCTTTTTTCTATGTTTGTTACCCCAGAACTATACTTTGCTTAGTCAACAATCAAATTAAAAAAAAATAGTGGCCGGGGAACCAGGTTTAACCTAGAAAAAAAAACCCTGGTACCCCGACGTACCTCGGGCCAACTACTGTCACCCGTTGGCCTCCACTTATGGAGTACGAAAGTCGTTCAGCTACCTCCAGAAGTTGTGCTATGTCCTCTGGATGACAGAGGGCGTCACAGCAGCCTGTTGCCGTCTACTGCTGAACGAAGCCCTCCCCGAGGAGCTCCAACCATCCCGATCAATAATGTATAACATTTACAAATTATATATGTATAAGTATTGCACGTTACCGTAGTATTTACCGCTAGGTAAGTATTTTAAATTTCTGACAAAATTATGTCTTGTTTATACTTTTGCAGTAAAACAACCTAATTATTTTATTAATAAGTACGAATGAAAATATTTTTAGTAACTTATTGATTATACCTACATTTAAAAATTATTGTATCACGAACTGTCGCCGTCTGCAACACTGATAAAACAAAATCTAATAAGAAACATAATCATAGCTAATGTTGTTGTCAATAAAGTATCGTCTTGAATGATTCTAAAAAACATTTGACTGTTTTTCTGCACGTAGTGTGTTATACAATTAAGTACATAAATTATGATACACGTGCAAATGTTATTTTCCTTAAATACAAACATAAGCAGTTCAATCAATGATATTATACACAAAAAGAGGTACTTTTAATTAACAGTAGCAAAAATAATAACAAATTCAACGAATACAATAACAAAGCCAGCTCAGAAGAAATATTACGACTGACACGTCTTCTCTTTTTATAACATAATAATAAAGAATAAGGAACTATCTTACCCCTTACGCAGCAAATTCACTACTAACATGAAGACGAACTGTTATCACTTTTGATAATAGATAAATAGAAGTACGGACTATGAATATGAAATCGTGCCGCTAACCAAAACAAACCGCATCACTTAACTTACACGTGTAAAATAGAACAGTGATGACATCTGTGATGGGTAAAACGAATTAGCTGAACAGTTAAAAGGTCATTTGAATTTTGTTGCAATGGTAATAAATAGATGTCGCTTTCAAACTAAGGATTGAAAATCATAGATGGCGCTTTTTTAAATTTTGATACTGCCACTTTTTTCACTTTCATTTTCAATACTTTTTAGCACTTATACAATACATGTATATTTAATCAAATACAATTATAAATAAGTTTTTAAGTTTGTAATTAATAATTACTTTGAGTAGGTGCATGTTTAGTTTAGGGCACCCGCATTTTCACTAACGAATAGAATTTCACTAACGAATTTCATTAGTGAATTCTAAATGACATTAAAAAAAATTAGACTACACTAGGAATATATCATGTATCGTGGGGGACTTAACAAACATCCATAGAACGGACAAGAAAATCCAGACTCAGAACAACAATTTGTTGATCTCACTTAACCGCTTAAACCACAACGCTATCCGTGCACACTTATATACATACACTTACGCCTATATGTTAAAAGGCGTGAGCAGAGGCGTGAAACGCTAAGATTTTAAAGACTGTAATTTTAATCTCACTCACATATCGGGGACAAACCTATTACCGTCAACAAAGGGCCTAGTGTAAGGTTTTGACGTGACAACGTCTTATAAATTGGTTTGCCGGGTGACACTTCAAGAAACTGCGTTACGCTCCGCTCACGTTATGCGCTCACAATGAGAGCGAGTGAGAGGCACGCGTCCCTTCCACTCGGGCATGGTTAGCCCGCCTAAGAGCGAGAGAGACAGACATAAAAAGTGAAAGTGATGTGAAGTATAAATAAATGTTTTAAATTGTTACTATTATTTCATCCTTCTTCCTACTATACGAATGAATATTCACATTAAAATTATTTTACCACTCAAAGTCGTTGTCACGTAAATCTTTCGCCCGTATACCGACTTTACAGGCAACCAATTTTTTTGACATCTACTCCGCGTTCAGATTTGCGACACTAGCCCTCTGAGCACTTTAGGAATTAAATGGAAAAATTAAGACTTTAATATGAAAGGAAACGTTGCTAAGATGGAAAGCAAGGGTAGGAAGGAGATGTTGGTGTGACGGATGGATCGAGGAATGTAAACAATAGTTCTGGTGGGTTTTGATCGCATACCTGAACTTGACTCGAACTCAATGAAAGTCCGACTCACATCACGTCATCACATCACATCAACAGCCTTTAATAGTCCACTTCTAGACATGGGCCTCTCCTTAGAAAGGAGGTTTTGGACTACTATACATACCACGCTGGCCAGACGGGTTTGTATAGGATTTGTGTCAAGTTTCCTCCTTTTTTCAGTACTGTTGTCCTGCGTAGTTTGATCCCTTAGTGGGCTCAAGTTATCTTACACTCTAAATAATTATTCACAAAAATTTTTGATTAAAATCGACTTTACAATATCAGATGCCACATTCAAAAGTTAATTAAAAATGAATGCTTTTAGTAGGCCCAAGTTTAAGGGTTTTAACAAGATCCTTTGTTTGCAGACACTAGATTATCATGCTAAGTGTTTGAGATAAAAATTCAATTAGGTTGTAATTTGAATTCAATTGAGTTTTGATTGGATGAGAATTAATTTCTTTTGATTAAGTTGACCTAATCAAAAGAAGTTGGCGTCCCGAATTTGTATATTTTTATTTTGGAATTCACTTCCCCGGCTGAAACTGCCCCGGCTGATTGACGATGATGATTCTGCCGCGCGGGGCGAATGCCCGGTTTGCCTCCCCCCCCCCCTCCCCCCAGATCCGGGGCTGAATACATGAACTTTACTTTACTTAAAAAGCAAAACTATACCTAAAAATTTAAATCATTTTAACTTACAATTAAACACGCGAATATTCAAACTTCTTTACATAGTATAAAATAAAGTTTATTTTTTTGTTGTACGCTAAGATCTTTTAAACTAAGCAATGTATTTAATTGCGTTTTCCACCAATAGAGAGATTGATTCAAGAGGAAGGTTTATATGTATGTAGAGGAAGGTGACAACGGCCGGCAGGATCGAAGCGGGCCTATAAAGATTGCATATAAAGATGTCCTGTAGTATAGTCCTATCATAATAATAGTATAATTAATTACTCTACAGTGTCACCACATTAGTAGTATCAGTAGCATCTACATTGCACCCGTGCGAAGCCGTGGCGGATCGCTAGTACCTATATTATTAATGTGAAAGTGACTTTATTAGTTTGTTACGCTTTCACGTCTAAAATAGTCTACTTTTAACCACGATAACCGACATACCTACAAGCGCGCGAAATCGCGGGAAAAAAGCTAGTACTTATATATTTCTAAACACATAATCCATACTTATTAATGTGAAAGTGAGTTAGTTTGTTAGTAACGCTTTCACGTCTAAACACAGGATGAATAGTGGTGGTGACACTTCGTATCTTTAATCGTAAGTATCGTTATTATACGAGTATATTCCGCCCTTTCGTCCACTTATAATGTCCCTTTATCTCCTACACTGACTGCGCAACTTCCTCTGCAACTCTCAAACGAATAAACTTTACCTGTTTTTGCAACTTATCGCAATTTTATATAGCCTTAGCCTTTCTCAACAAGTGAGCTATTCTTGGCATTAAAATATATTTTTAATTCGAACAAGTAATTTCTGAGATTAGCGCCTTCAATCAAACCAAAACTCTTCAGCTTAACAATCCATACTTATATTATTATAAATGTAAAAGTAAGTTTGTTTGTTACGCTTTCTTGCCTAAACCACTAGACCGATTTAAAAAATTCTTTGATCAATGATCAATTTCAGCAAGTAACATAGGCTACTTTTTTCGGTGATATCCGACTTATATGTGGGCAGAGCTGCAGGCTAAAGTTAGTATTAGTATGCATTTATAGTGTAGCTGTCCTTGTTTTGTTCTTGAAAGATTTATTGTTAATACTTGTCTTGGACAGAATAACGACGGACGGCATGCTTTTGTCTCTGCAAGCACGTTTTGTCTTTCTAATATTAATATCTAGCATCTATACCTAGGTTGAATATGTACCTTTTTGTGTCAGAGGGGGCAAACGGTCAGACGGGTCACCTGATAGCAAGTGACTGCTGCCGTCCATGGACCCTTGCAACTCATGAAACAGCCTCCCCCCCCCCCCTTTTTTTTTTTTTTTTTTTTTTTTTTTTTTTTTTTTTTCCGTGCGGAAATCCCCTCGGATACCACCTTTCGGTGGCATGTCGGACTCGAACCGACTAAAACCGCACGCCTTCGCCGGGTACTAATAGCCGGGGAACCAGGTATACCCTAGAAAGGAAGGCCCTGGTGCCCCGACATACCTCGGGTCATCTACAGACGAGTAGACGACCCCCGCCCCGTGTGGGAACCCCATGTTCCCTGTGCTCCCTGAAAGCGAGCGCGCTTCGCAACGCGCTCGCCGCCACCCCGGCCTGCTTCTGCTAGGGTGACAGATGGCCTCACCTGTCACCCCCAGGCCTGCGCTTATGGAGGACGGAGGTCGTTCTGCGACCTCCGGCGCCTGAGTGACCTGCGCTGCCTGGCCCGTGCCCGGGCCTGGCGGGCCGGGAGAGTTCTAAACCTCTCCCGGTCCCGCTCCGCCGTCTCCTTCGCGAGCATAACTTGCTCGCAGAAGGAGACGGCAGAGTTCCACGCACTCTCGCTCCGCACGATAGCCGCAATCAGGCTATCGAGCGAGAGAACTCCCACTCCGATGGCCGCCACGAGGTCTCGCCTCTGCTCAACCCACGCCGGGCACTCTGCCAGCGTGTGGAGAGCCGTGTCCACGGTCTGGCCATCGCAGTGGTGGCACTCAGGCGTTGGCTCCTTGCGGATCAGACACAGGTGATCTCCGAAACATCCCTTCCCAGTGATCACCTGCGTCAATCGGTATGAGAGGGTCCCGTGACGCCTCTCGAGCCAATCCTCCATAACGGGTCTTACCGCCGCAATGACGGCGTGCCCGGCGCTCGGTTGCCCGAGTCGTTCCCTCCACTCCCCTATGATGACCTGGCGGAGTTGGGATTTCCGGTCCTCGATTTCTCGAGTCTCGGGGCATCGACCCAACTCCTGCGCCTCCTTGCGCCACTGATACAGTGCCGCAAGGGCTCTCGCCTCCAGGTCCCACGGTGGAGTTCCGGCCAGGAGACTCGCCGCCTCAAAGGAGATCCCCCCCCCCTATCCCTCAGCAACAGAGTTAGAGGAGATGGTCATTTTTTTTTACCTGTGGAAACCCCCTCGGGCCGTCACTTGCCACTCTGCGCTTGTAATAGAATTGACCCGGGAAATGCTGTTATTAAGACATTCGGACCCCTCCTAGCGCCTGCCCGTCCGGCGCACGCGGACCTCGCCCGCGACCTGGCCGTTATGGCGGGTGGAGAAGAAAACCCGTCCCGTCCACCCGCGACCACACTTAGGGCGGCATGAGGCTCTGATAAGCGCGCGTCCGCTGCCCAGTTCATCAGCGGCGAATTGGGTCCGAGTGGAGATCATCCTCCCGGGCCCTCTCCGCTGCCTCCTGTTGCGAGATGACGTCTTCGCAGAAGGATGCAACCGCGGTAAAACAACTATCACTAAAGGCCATGTAGCGAAAGACGGCCGGTAGCGAAAGATCTCCTCCGATGACTGCAGTCCCAAGCCGGGCAAATTGCCAGCGTGTGCTGAGCCGAGTCCTCACTGCAATTGTAGAGGTGACAAACGGGACTCAAATTCCTCCTAGCGACCGAGTGCAAGTACTGTGCAAGTACCCGAAGCAGCCGTGCCCGGAAAGAACCTGCGTTAGTCGGAAGGAAAGGGTCCCGTGCTAGGCCTCCGATAACCTCACTCACTCAGTGAAAAGTAACAAAAGAATTGCCACTTCTTAAACAA